AAGCCGAGGAAGCTATTTGCTGACAAATGGGATTTGGTGTTGGGCTTGAGCAGCTTTAACTGATGGGTTTTATTGGTTGATGGAGCACAATATCATGGCGGTTTTCTTCTCTATGCCTCTCTGGTAGCGTGGATAACATTGCAGGGAGTAAAGGCATTTGGTCACGCAAAGGTGCTGTTAAACAGATGGCAGGAGACCAGTGAAGAGAGTGGCACTGGACAGCAGATGGAGAAAACATCATGCGGGAGACCAGAAGAATGCAACACATATATGTCTGAGACTCTGCCAGCATATGATCCTCCTCTAGGTTTTAACAAGTATAATGTTTTCAGTGAGGTTTCAGACTGTGCCCTAAATGAAAAAAAAAGGGAAGAAAAAAAATACTTAGATACTTAGATAATTCTTTTTTCATGGCCAGTGGTGATTTCATAAATGACATTTAAGCTCCCAGTTCTAAAAGTGACAGTCATGCACTCGCCACTGAATCATACGGCCTATGATGATAGATCATAAAATGTTTCAGTATTTTGAGGTTAATCCAACAGGGGGCAATCTTGTACAATAAAGCAGGAGCAAAAGCTTTCTGCTGTCACAGCTGCACTGCAATATGCTTTGCAGTGTGCAGGATGTTTTTCTCCTCGGATTCTCCAACCAGTCTGGGACAGTATTTTCTTCTTTTTTTTTTAGCAGCTACTTATTTTTTATTTTTATTTGATAAACATGGGTTTTTAATCACCATTCTCTATATATATATCCTGTCAGATTTAAACTAACTTTCTGAACTTGGTCTCACATTATAGCTTCCAGTGATATTAGTTAACTGGAAACTTCAAAGGACAGTTAAAATTAGTATCTTGTGTCTAAAAAGTCACAATAGGTCAGATGGATAGCTTGTTCTAACAAGTCCACACTAACTGTATTTACCTTTGTTGAGTGGATAATTTTCTTAAATGTCATGAAAAAGACCTGTTTTAAATTTCAGAAATTCAGAAGAAGGTTTATAAAGCATGGCAGCCACTACAGAGGGAAGTGTTAAAACAAAAGAAAAGAAAGAGAAAAGGCCAAGCCCATGCTGTAAAAGACAACACCAAACACTAATAACAGCATGTTATTGTAAAGCAGATATGTCTTCGTACCTATTAATTATATACTTAATAGTTTGTGTATCTTTTAGTTTTGTTTCTAGAAAAAACGATATTTACAATACACTGTGCCAACTTCATTACACGCTGACATAAAACAGAAAGTCTTAGTAAAATTCCATTTTGTTCTCAAATAACAACAATCAAGAACCCATGAGGTAAGAGAAGCATAACCCCCCGTTTTTCTAGAAATGTACAATTTCAGGTAAAAGGGTGTGATGTGGAGGAAAATGTGACTTTGGGGGGTCTTTGAATCAAAAACACCCCATACTCAGAGCTGCTGCTGGGACAGGATGAGTGCGAGTGTAGGTGGGGATGTGGGGGGTTTGAAACCACAGCAGGCAGGTAACAGTGACAGGTTTACCTCCCCCTGCTCTTATACTATGGACCTGACATCCTGTCTGCCAATATACACAGAGACACATCAACACGGAGAGACAAACAGGCCCAGTCAGCCTCCAGAACAGGACAACAGCTCCACGTTTTCAGTCGAGGGCTCCACATGTGGGTACGGCAGAGGTAAGAAGCAGCACGTGAATGTGAGGCGACCCTATTTGACAGGATATTAAAGGTCAAATACAGACATGTTGAAACTATTTTGTTTTATCTCAAGAGCTCGCTCACATCTCCAGAGCTGGGACAGTGAATCTCTAAAATAAGAGCTGTGTGGCAGGAGTGGGCCGTGACAGCATTTTAGTCACTCTGTTATAGAGGATAGGCATAAACAGGTTTAACACCATTTCTATAAAATAAAGGGGAAAAAACTACATTTATCTTAAAAGTGATGTACATGACTGGCACGCCACAATTATTGTAAGCAAATAGTTTGATTGGAAATATATTGCAAAACCCAAAAATGTCACACATGGTGTCAATAGCATTTGTATTTATTTATCTTTTACATTTCTAGATGCATTTCTGTGAACACTTGTGTTTGACAAGTCCAAAACTCTTTTCTGTATCCAAACCTGTTCCTTTAAATTTGGGAGAGCTTCATGATTCCTGTTAGTCCTCTCTGCTGTCACTCAGTGTTACTGGAAGAGGAGTGTCGGCCATTACAGGCTTGGCAGCTGCACTGAGCTGCAACACTGATACTCTGTGGGAGTCTATCACAGAGAATGATGGCGGCTGCAGGGGACTTAGGGCAGGGCCAAAGGGCAAGACACTAACTTTCTGGCTCTGACATTACCCGAACTATAAAGACTACAGTAATCCTATAGCACAGATTAGTGCAACTGTAAAATCCAAACTGTAAAATAGAGGCCAAAATGTCCTGTCATGCGAGATAAAATTCCGACGCAGTAAACTTAATATTTGTACTTGGGACATATTTCTATAGCGGTGATATCATAGGATAATCAAAAAGAATTGAAAACATTGAGCTACATTATGTTCACCTCCGGAACTGAATATTCGTGTTAGTTTTGGATATTATTGATTTGAAGTAGTTATGTGTAGCATTTTTTTAAAAACAAAAAAAAAAACAAATCCGTCTCATACATGAAGCAGTAAATTTTGCCGATAATAAGACGACTGTCTCACTGAAGAGTTTAACTTTTAACCTCACAAAAAAACTCCCACAGGAAGTCGGTATTCTCCTAGCAGAATTTTTTGTGTGTATATTTCACGAGATTTTAATGAATTCAGACTGTTTAAATTATACTGGCAAATTCAAATTTTATTAATAGTGAATGTGTATCTCTTAGACAAGCACAAGATATACTTGAGAAAAAAAATACTATTTATTTTAATCGGATTTTTTTTTTCAAGAACCAAAACAAAAGCATAATTTTCATTTTTCCAATTTTCCAGAGTGAACTGGATACGTTGAGAAAATGCCATTATTTGTAATGTTAAAATGCATGGTTCTGTGTGTATTCTATTCTGTCTGTAGCTGTTGGGGTTTTTGACAGTGAAGATAGGAGGCTGGGTGATATGAAACCGAACGAAAAACCACAAGCATGTTGTGTGCAGACGATGTTCTGCAGCTCTAAGAAAACGAAAATTAGACTACATGAGCTCGTGGATAGACTTAACGTCTTAGACAAGCACTTTACTTGTTATCTCTCCCATAACAGAGTAAAATCTCTCGTTCTGTTTTTCTGTCTTATGTGGTTATTAAAGGCGCACATTAATAGATCTAAAAGAATGCACTGCACAAATGAAATTATTTTCCATCTTGTGGGTTTAAAGTCTGCCTTTCTTTTGATATAAATATATATCTATATATACAGAGAAATATAATTTATTCCGATCTGTGCACTTCAAGAATATTAGTTCGTTTTAAATTACGAGCTCATCCTGTGCATACCGGCTCCATTCACAGTGAAGCGCTTCTCTGCGATGTGAACAGAAAATGTAAAGTTGTTCTGTGAGACAGTGTTCTGTCAGAGCCGCGAATGCTTGAGAAAAGAGGGGAGTTTGCTGTTGTAGCTATGCTACAATAGGCGGCGCTGCAGACCTGCATTCTGCAAAGTGTCTACAGCAAAGACGAGGACCGCAACTAACTCCAAACCTCTGTCAGTCCTGCTGCACACCAACACCTCATATGTATCAGGCATACAGGAGAAAAATAACACTTCAAGAGATCGCAGAAATATATGTATATATAGAGAAAGATAGATTGAGTACCTTTGATGGATTTGGGCATCTCATTAGAAATAAAAGTATGTCAGGATGACTTTATGATTTTATTTAAAAACAAACTCAATCACAGTTTTATTAAGACGCCTCTTGATTAAAAAATACATTTTAAACTTTTTTATTTTATATATGAACTTCTTCAAGTACAATCTGCTCATGTGCCTGAAGTCACGTCTGTTTCTATGCAGCACAAAAGGCGTACACTCTTTAGCTTCTGGTTGAGGCTGTCAAAAAAAAAGTCTTCATTACTTTGCATCATAATCTGCGGCCAGAAACCAACCTCAATGTAATTAAAGGCCAGTGTGATTAATCTCATATAGTCTGTCACTGCACATAAATTCAATTAAAAAAAAAATACCGTCTGAATAATAAATGATGTAATAATGACACTAAATTAAAACAACCAGCTCTGATTAATGCTTATCTGAACACACACATGCACAGTTTTCCCTTCATTTTATCGTATGCCATTTGTCAAGTATAGCTAGATGTTTATTTTTTGTGCTGGATGGGGGGACACCTGGGCTGATCAGTGTTGAAATGGGCATATAAACGTTTTTTAAAAGGCAGGCAACAATTCCTGTGGTGTTTTTGCAACCGTGTAATAACCGTAATAAGCCCCCTTGTACTGGTGTTTTAACGCAAGTTACCAAAAAATAAGAAAAAAAAACCCAGCTGTCTTAAGAATGTGAATTCTTTCTCTTTATTTTATCTCCTCTTTTTCTATCAAAAACCTTTGTCATTTTTTAACATTATTATTATTATTATTATTACCACAGTGAATTAAACCATTTAATGTTGTGGTTCTTGCATATGCCCTCCATTTCGCAAATGGGATCTATGGTTTCAAAAAGAAGGAGGAAAAAAAAATCTTGTAAGCTCCTCAAGTATCCAAAAGCACGTTTTCAAAATCGTGGAACTGTGAGGTGGGGGGAAACTTTCAGGGTTTCCTCCCGTGCTTCCAAACATGCCTCCAAAAGAAGCTATCAGCCTTGGCTGGATGGTATATGAGAGGTGTCAGAGGAGGCAGGTCGAACTGAGCACGCTCCTCTACTATGGTCTGGAGCCTTAGTTGCTATCCAAACACAAATAAACAGAGGGGAACATTGGAGTTAATGATAGAGGAGGGGGGTGGAGGCGTGTCGGGGGGCGGGCTGAGCGCTCGAGAGTCCTGGAGCTCTAAAAAGTGAAGAACCGCACACTTCCAGCCCCAGCTCCGGACGGGACTCACACGCTGCTGCTGTCTCTCCTCCAAACTTTGCCTCTTTCCACATTTTTTCACAACTTGTCACATCTCTGCAAAAGTCCGAGACATCAGTCTTGGCTGCATGGCTACATGAAAGTTTCATGGACTTGGATCTTGGAAAACTTTTAGCGACGCTTTATTGGAGCTCGTCGCCTCTATAGTTACTGTGGATTACTGACATACCGCAGGACCTTTGGCAGCTATTTATTGGGGTAAGATTCTGTTTGGCAGGGTAGGATTTATGTCTGAGGAAGGAGAACCAAACCAACATATTAGAAGTTGTTATCTTAAAAAAAAGAAAATAAAAGGTTTAGTGTCTAGGCTTTAAAGCAAAGACTCAAAGACTCTTAGAAAGTGATCAGCTTTTAATGACCAAACATTTCATTTTTTTAAGTGTTCTAGAGAGGAGTGTTGTTTAGTCATATTACTAACTAACTTGAGGTCACAGTTCACTCACGCTTTGACATTGCTGGCCTCCGTCCACGGCGCGCAGCATTACTTAAACAAACAGTGATCTTCGAGTTTGTGAAGACTTGTCACGACTGATAGAAATGTAAAGCCTTCTGCCAAAAATAACACGTGAAAAGCTTTAAAAATGAACCTTACAAGGACTCGAAGAACAAGATCGGACATTTGGCTGCTCCCGAAGTGTAAGCGCAGTCCAAAGGTGAGAACAAGAACAAGCTGAACGAACTCCCTGGGCAAAGAACAGCAAGTGCCTTCGCGGTGTCTCACGCTGCACCTGTGCGAAATTATATTTAACCCCTCACCATCGGTGAGAAGGAAAGCGAGGCAGAAAGAGCTGAAGGCAACGACCTGACCGAAACAAGCGACCAGTAGCTACCCTGACTACCGTGTGCGCAAGACTCACAGTCTGCAAGTGTGGATAATGGCTTAATCTCCGAGGCAGTTTCAGGACAGGCTGACTTCTGACATATTGTGTTAAAATATGATTTGGCTTGATCTGTCACAAAAGAAAAAGTGTAGATACCTAAATGATGTATTTTACTATCCAAACACAGCTCGCTGTTCTTCTTTTTCTTGATCATATCTAAAGGTCAGCACAACTGGCCTATTGCCAGTCCCGCGTTCACCATCTGGAGCCTTGAACTTCTACGGTGGATCTTCTTTTTTCTGTGTGGGAAAACATAACTTGTCATCCCCACAAACTCGGACACAAGCCAATTTTTATACTGTCAGCTCACCTCATTTGTCCTAAACAGCGGAGGGAGCTCGCTTCTGCTTTTGTTTAAGGGAGACATTATTCTTTTGAAATGTAGGTTAAATGCACAGGGGTCATTTGCTGCCATGTTGCCTTGCCCAGGGGAAGGGGGAAAAAACTTCATATGGAAAAAATAAATAAATAGATAAATATTACATTAAAGACCTTAAAAGGAAAAAAGTGCCTATAAAATTAACTCCAAAATAAAAATGAAAAGCACATGCATTTCCATCAGAGACAGACAGACAGCGTGTATGTTTTGCTCCTTCAATTAATAACATATTTCATCTCTTCTGTCTAAACTTCAGACTTGTACAAATCCGTGCTGCTTACGTTTGTTTTGGAGTTTTTTTAATTGCGAAATACTAACTGCAACTTTAAAACACACACACACCAAGCTGTGCTTTCTAATTACCTCGTGTGAGATTTAGTGCTTCATTCAGAGTGATCTGAAATTGCAATTTGCAGTGTTAATCGATGCCACATGAGTTGTTTTACACCCACTTGATTTAATTATACTTTCGGTGACTGATTTGTTTCCTAAATTTTGACTTGAAGCGCATCTCCGTGTCGGGTGGGGGGGAGGGGGGCGACTGTGTTTTTACATTTCCTCAGTGGTTTCGCTTATGCAAAACAGAGGTTTAGATATTATAAGCAGGCCGGGACAGGCTAATATAGGACAATCCTTCTGCGCATTAACCTGTGCGTTTTATTCATCAGCTTCCTCGCGTTGAACCAGGTGCAAAAAATAAACTAAGCTAATTCATTATATATATGCCTAAATTAGGTTTAAAGGGGAGAGGGGCTGGCTGGGTATATTCACCTTTGCGAAAGGACATATTTATATCAGTTTAATACAATAATGAAAAGTTACAATTTCAAAAAATAAAATCTTTTTAGTTGAAGTTGTGTATATGCAAACAGGTGGATTTAAGTAGTCTACCATAACCGGTAACTGAGACGTCACATTTTCTCTGTTCTTCTTTCCACACAATAACCAGTTCTTGGGATTAACACGCAACACTTATTGTTCGGTGTGTTCTGCATTCTCAGGGTTATCACCGTGTCTTCTGCAGAGGTCTGAGCCGAGATGGGGAGCAAAGCCCTGCACGCTCCGATCCCCCTGCACCCAGCCCTGCAGCTCACAAACTACTCCTTCCTGCAGGCCGTCAACACTTTCCCCGCTGACCAGCTGCAGGGACTGTACGGCCTCAGCGCCGTGCAAACCATGCACATGAACCACTGGACTCTTGGCTACCCACACATGCAGGGACTGAGGTCGACGATCACGGCAGCCGCCCAGGGTCTGGTCGACCCACGGATTCCCTTCCCAGCTTTGCCCTTCACCGCCGCGGCGCAGTTATTCCATCCAAAGCAAGCCACCGTCGCGCACGGCGTCCCCTCGCTGCAAAAGGACAGGCCGAGATTTGACTTCGCGAACCTGGCCCTCGCTGCCACGCAGGAGGACCCACCGAAAGCTGCGGACCTGGCAAAGCTGGCATCGGGACTAGGGGGAACCATCTCCGAGCTGAGCAAGCTGTCCCCGGACAGAAAACCCACCAGGGGCAGGCTACCATCCAAGACTAAAAAGGAATTTATTTGTAAGTTCTGCGGCAGGCATTTTACCAAGTCCTACAACCTCTTAATCCACGAGAGGACCCACACAGATGAGAGGCCCTATACTTGTGACATTTGCCACAAGGCTTTCAGAAGACAAGACCATCTCAGAGACCACAGGTAAGACGGATTTATGGGATATTATGCGCACTGGGTTAGGACGAGGGGGTCAGCAATTTCCAGCAGCAATGATGATTTGTGATTTTAAGTCTCAGATATCTCGATTTAAGTTAATAGCCTCTCCAGAACCGGCCATTAAAATTATATTCCTTAATTTGTGCTATAAAATATAAGCAGGCCTGTTCCCTAAAACTTCTCCACGAGGGCGCTAAAGCACTTTTCAGCATTAAGTTGGACATTCAGAACTTGCACAGTGGAGATTTTCGGCTCTGTGATTGTGGGCTCTGTAACATTTACAAGTAACTTCGTGCATGAGCGGGCATTGATTAAGTGTCATTTCTGTTTTACAGATACATCCACTCCAAGGAAAAACCGTTCAAATGTCAAGAATGTGGGAAGGGATTCTGTCAGTCTCGAACTCTAGCCGTCCATAAAACCTTACACATGCAGGTAAGCTCAGAATCTTAACGCGACCTTTAACGTGTGATACTCTCTGATCATAATTCACCTGTCTACTGCATGCATGGGGGGTGGAAAAAGAAAGCCTCACAAAGCCTATCACTAAATTAAAAACAAAAAAATGTGAGTCAGTTATCCACAGAAAACAATACAATAAAAATAAAAAATAATATGCAAACAAGTAAATTAGATCTGACACGACAGTGGATTTATCAGATTATTGAAAGATTGAACTGATAGACCTTCTATCCAATTAAAGGCAATAATCCTTTGCTTGCTTTAAATCTAAACAGGAATCTCCACACAAATGCCCCACATGCGGAAGAACCTTTAATCAAAGAAGTAACCTGAAAACTCACCTTCTCACCCATACAGACATCAAGCCCTACAGCTGTGGCCGCTGCGGAAAGGTGTTTCGGCGCAACTGTGACTTGCGACGGCACAGTTTGACGCACAGCCCACATCAGGACTACTAGCCTGGAGAAACAAAAATAACAATGGACAAAACGCAGAAAGACAAATCAGCGACAATTTTTCTTTTGGATCAAGGACAATCTCCAAGTGAGGACATGTTTACTTCAGCACGTTTTAGAGTGGGATTTGGTTGCACCTCAAGCGGAACAACAGCGGAGCCAGTGCCATGTCCAACTTTCACACCACCTGTAAATATCAAATGTACATAATGTTGTTGCTCATGTTGTTGTTGTTGTGTTTTTTAATGTTCTTTTTCTGACCTTGAAATGGTAAAGTTGTCAAAAAACAGTCATAAATTTAAAGTATGTTAAATTGTATTTTAGAAATAAATATTTCCATGATACATTTGGATTTCCCCACGTTTTTATTTCTCATTTTCACTGCCACGAAACAGAGGACACAGTGTTACAGCCCAAAAAAGCAATATTTAGGTGAAATCTTTTACCATGGTCATCAAGTTAATAGTCTGTATGTTTACAGCCGGCGGGCAGTGAGAGCTTATGTGGCGGACGTGTTGGGCTTTTTAGCAGGGAGTTAGCAGGAAACGCCACATGACAGAAAGCCCCGAGGACGTCTTTAGCTCCCGGAAAAGAGCATAACTTCATAAGCACAATCCTGTGTGCCATCGCGGGTGATAATTGATCATAAAGTTTACAATGATTTTTCTTCGAATAAAAGTTATGACCATGTAACGGTCAGTCATTACGCACTGTCTGCCAACCACCTCTCAGTGTCTGTACGTCTCAGAATTATGAGCCTCCATTATTATTTTAGGCTACATGTCCTCTACAGAGGCTGATCAGTATTATATTAGCCGCATTAGCGGCCATATCACATGTCTTTATCTAGATCACCTCTGACATCATAAGTGACCTGCAAAACGGCAGAAGGAACCATCAGCGCTAAGAAGGCATTTTCACGCAGATGAGCGGGGCCGTGTGTCTGCGTCTGTCCTCAGATGGTGGTTCAAAAATGTTTTTAGGAACCTGATGTGTTACTGAGCCATATTCGAAATGTAAAACACCTGTACCACTCAGCTGCTGACGTCTAATGGGCCTGACGTGAGTCTCCTAGTTTAATTTTTGGGCCTATATGCGCCATAGACTAATTTTATGAATTAAAAAATATATATACAAAGATTATTTCACAGGTCCTTATGATTCAATTCAATTCAATTTTATTTATATAGCGCCAAATCACAACAAAAGTCGCCTCTAGGCGCTTCATAGATACAGAGACAAATAGCCACAAATAGCCTCAAGCAAAAATGGAAGAACTCATTTACACTGTGGTTTAAATTTTCGTAGATACACAGAAAAACCCACCAAGATCTGGATTTCATCCAACTAAACTTTGACCGACCACTGATTAACCACCAAGCCTGCTGCCTGTAACCGGACGAGCTCGTCTATAATGTATTGGGTGTTTTTTTTTTTTTTTTTTTTTATCATTTGGTGAAGTCAAAGCGAGATTGTCTCCTCTGACTCTCTCCTCATCTCTGTGTCTCTCGGTGTTATCTGGCCTTCGGGCCCTTTGTGTCCCAGTTTCAAGAGCCAGCGGTAGCTACTGACTGCTGGCCTGAAACTTGATTTTCACCTTACGGTGCAATTAATTGCACGAAAAAGTAGCATTTATTTCTAATGGGCTCGAAAATAGGGTCTGGAACAAGTGGTTATAATAACATCAGGAGATTTAAAAGTGCGTTCATTGCTGCTGAAAGGCCATTAACTAAGGCCCGTTTTATTGCGCACTGCGGGCTAGGATTTTCCTAATTATTTTCTGAAAGGAAAGACAACAAAGTGCGACGTCTCCAGCGAGCTCATAAAAAATTTAAAAAAGAAGGGGGAAAGTATTTGAGCTGTTTGACAATCACATAAAAACATAATTCATTAGTAAAACATAAAAAAATTCAATCTGAAAACTATATAATATGAAAAAAACACACAAAAAGGTCATGTAATAATAATAATAATAATAATAATAATGTTTGATATATATATATATATATATATATATGTTTAGAATATATTTAAATGGAATTTGTTTGAATTTGTAATAAGCGTTTAACAAATAAACGTTTATTAAACAAATTGTAATCCATTTTAATAAACAAGAAAAAAAGAAATGAAAAAAGAAACATTTTGACGCCTCGACAACAGATGTAACATAATGCAGGAGCCGACTAATAAGAATAAATGCAAAATATCTGTTACAATATGCAGTTTCATTTGAAAGTAATTTTCTGCCATTTTTGTCCGCCTCAGTGGAAATATACATTTTTACATGTGCTTGAACAAAGCCGTTTAGCCTTTCTAAAGAAGTATTTATTTAATATTCTTTAATTAATTGTTTAGTTAATCCATGTATTGCTGTAAGAATTTAGCAAAAACACTTTATTTTTAACCGGAAATAAATCTTTGATAGCCTCAACTGAAATGCTGTAGTGGAAAACCCCTAATTTAGGCAGTTTACGTGGAACAGATCATTCGTGGAGAATAACAACAGAAGATTCCTAAGACTGCAATTTATCTCTGGCTTTAAAGACTTGGATTGTGGCACAGTACGCTGGTTTCCTTTGGATTCCAGATTCAACCTGCTGGTCTAAGAAGTGAGATAACTTGATATCAGATATTTTTCTGTCTTAATTTAAAGCATCATGGCCAGAAAGGACTTCAGAATAGTAACATTAACTGTGGGTGACCACTTGACTCTGACACATGTACGCATAGTTGGCAAAGCGTGGCCGGTCACACGGCGATCATCATCCTTGACCGACTTATGTGGACTGTATCCTCAAGAAGCTTTACAGCAGACGAGAGACTGTCCGGACTACAGGCCACTACAGGCCAGACCTCATATCTGCAGTGCCTCTGACCCTATGTGCGGCTTGCGGCAGACACTTTTTTAAAGCTTTCATCACGAAAAAAAGACAGATGATGGTCTGATCTCAAAGATAGGTGATTAAATAAATCCAAATCAAATCAAACAAACAAACATGCAAACATATTCAGCAAACCAATGAAGACGTGATATATACCGACGGTAGGGTGAAGTTGGATTTTTGTTGTTTAAGCTATAAAACTGCTATAATTTGCTTTTTTTTTTTTGTATGTTATGACTGCTGTTCACTTTAAATATGACAAGATTGCCTACTTAACCACTGGAGCAACATAACTCAACATTACGACTAAAAAAATAATAAAAGAAATATTTTATCTGTCAACGAACTCCTTGGACGCACAAATTAGCAAGATCATTTCTCAGCAAAAGTGACAGTGAGATAAAGGTTGAGTCTAACCCGTTCTTTTATGCAATTCATACAGTTGTCCATTGACATTACTACGTTTCATGTCTGAAAAATAACCAGTGACCCTAAAAAAAACGAGATCCGTGAAAGACAGAAATGGTTTACATTTTAGTATATTTTCGTTGCCCTCAGTATATTCTTCTTTATTTTAAATTCCAGTATGTAAGATATTTATCATGTCACAGTGTGTCATGGTATATTTCACCTAACCTCCAGATATAGGCCTGTGTTACTCTGGCAGTTGAGATATATTTAGAGTTGAGATATATGATGAGATGCTTAAAATCCGCACAGTTTCCTTGTGTGAAATGCAAACATCATTTTCTTATTGTCTCTACTATTCACTTTCATTGACTTCTGCAATGACCTAGGTCCCAGAAGGTTGAAATTGAAACTGTCATGGATTAAGATGGTAAATAAGAACCTTTTGTTACATTATAACAAAAAAATAAAAAATAATAGAAAATTATAATCAAGAATACACGTTCACTATGCTGAGCAATTGTCCACCGTGAAGTTCACACGATCTCTCTTTCGGCAAAGGTGAGCTTCCGCTGCCATAAAAGGGGTAGGGGCGTGCTTAAGCGATGACGATTATTATGCGAAGAGATCCCTTCCAGTACTTGTTAGAGAGTCCGGATTTGTAGACACTCTTTCGTTTTAATAGGAACAAAGGTATTTGTTATATCAAAACCTGGCGGCATGGAGACATCCAGAGTTGCTGTAACCGAAGAAGATAATGCCTGTTAACTGATCAAATCACAAATGAAATTTCTCTTGAGTTACTTATGTTTGTACGTTGTGTATGTAAAGTTACCTTCGAAAGGCAAATTTCCCACTGAAAAACGCAACACCAAGCATACGGAAGCCGCGTTGGTGTTTACTGATGACGTTTCGACTCTTGCAGTTCGGCGATATGGCTAACGTTAGATAACGGGATGAACATCTTTTATTAAACGTAGAATTAAACAAAAACCAGCAGGATACAAGTGGGAGTCAGGTAAATAGAGTCTTTTCTCTATTTGACTTCTGGCTAGCCAGTTTAGGCAGCTGAAACGAAGTTATAGCGACTTCTTCTAATCACTTAGCCTAGCTTCTTTGCTTCGCTGCTGTTGTGTATCACTTAAATGACAGGAGGAACGAGCTAGCCTCCCTGGCTAAGTGCTCCACAGTAAGTTAAATGTATTACTATAAGATACGACATAGCGTCGCTGTTGAAGTTATTTTTAGTTACATTGGAATTAATTTGCAAATGCAGTACATAATTGCTCCTGGGCTTCCCCGTTATGTGGAATGAAGGCACTTTAGCAAGGAAGCTAGACATTCCGGTGAATTTCATTTAAGGTTAAAATACGTAAAAGTAGAAGAGTTGATGTTCATAATTTACGGGAGGGTTAGTTAAATTTGCGTTGGTGAGAAGTCAGCGTAATTAGAACTGTCTTTACACCTAATTAAGTTTATTAACCAAAACCTGTACAACCTTTCTATAAATTACGCACAGCTGGATTAGTTATTGGATGCCAATATGGTATTTATGTCATTAGGAGTGCCAGTTCATTCTGACATCAGTTTGTTGAACTGTAACAAAAAACAGCTTGAGGTTTGTGTGAAGCGGCCAGTACTTCCACAGTTTGCAAGTTGGATAAGAGGTTATAATGTTGTGTTTGGACCTGTCATAAAAAGAAATGTTCGAGCATAGCCAACATCTTAAATTATAAGAAGAAAGAAAGAAAGAAAGTGGTACTTTATTGATCCCCATGGGGAAATTCCTCTCTGCATTTAACCCATTCACTCAGTGAAGCAGTGGGCAGCCATTGGGCGCCCGGGGAGCAGTGTGTAGGGACGGTACCTCGCTCAGGCGTACCTCAGGGTAGCTGTTCAGGGGAATCGAACCCCCGACCTTCCGATCATGGGGCCACCACTCTACCTACTAAGCTATCCCTGCATAATTTAATGTATAAATTATGGCTTTATACATATAATAAATACACTACTTCTGCTTTAGAAATGACAATTATTAATTAGAGCTGTGCTTTTAGGCTATGACATCAAAATAACTCTCTATGATCAGAAATACATATTCTTTGTAATTAGTTTAGAACGAGCACCATTAGTTTAGTGACCGAGATATATAATGGCAAAAGGATGTTAACACAGTCAAATGATATTACCATGTTTTTTGTTTTTTTGTTTTGCTCATTGTGTACACAGAACAAGGACAAGATGTTGGAGTCTTATGTCACACCGCTCCTGATGAGCTATGTAAACAAGTACATCAAGAATCTGAAGCCATCTGACCTGCAGCTCTCTCTGTGGGGCGGTGATGTGGTGCTGAGCAAGCTGGACTTGAAGTTGGATGTACTGGAGCAGGTACTAAAAGTTAAATCTAGCTTTTGCTTTGAACCTTTCTTTATAAAAATGACGTGAGGTTAAAATGATGGGAATGTTAAAGTCAGAGGTTTAAAATATAAATGATCACTTCCTACATATATATTCAGAATGTAGTTTTGTATTTTACTTACTGTAAACAAGAGTTTTGTTTATAAACCTTGGTTATGCAGGCACATACACCCTACAAAAAAGTTGCCATATTATGTCTGCAGCTATTCTCCACTGTATTGCCTTGACTAGAGTAAAAGAAAACGCTACAGTGCTGTTTAGTCAGGCACTAACAGCATCTTCTTGCTGTCATTTCAGAAGAATTTTACCAGATTTACTTTGATATTTTGCTCTGCAGTGTTATTTTGACAGTGTTCTCTTTTACTCATGTCATGTCTGGATTAGATCAAACTGCCACCAGTTAAAAGGATTTTCTTTTCTTTTGAGTGGGTTCTGACTGCTGCTGAAGAGCAGACCAAAACACTGCGTAACCCAAAGAGATTGTGATGAAAGTCCTTATTGGAAGCAGCTTCAAGCTATCCGACAGTGGGAATTGTGTTAGGATTGAGATTTGTCTGTAATGCTGTGTCAAAACTTTGGAAATTGTCCTACCTTTGCATTTATTTTATTCCATTTCATTTGGACAGTACCTCCTCTCAAATGTGCAATCTGAGATCATCTTAATATAATATTTGGTGAAACATTGTGGGGGTTATAAAGCAGACATACTGTAAATCCATGACAGCTTTTCCCTCAGAAAAATGTTTGGCTATTAATTTTTTGGCTCAGACTTGCACAGAAAGCATGTGAAGCCTGTGTGTAGGCAGTCTGGTTTCATGGGACTCATTCTCACACAGAGTAGTTCAAGATGCAGAACAGTGATTTGCCTGCCTCTGAAAATATCTGACTTATATTGTTAGAAGCGTGACCAGTATGTAATCTGTAGCTATTGTTTTTACCATCTACTCGTCTACAAATATTAGCTTCAAAGTGCTGTTTGGAAAATGGATGGATGAAGATTCAAAATGTTCTCGAAGCCTCTACCTCGTATTGGCACCTTTATCCATATTATTCTAGTGTTGTTTATTTCTAGCTGGCTGTTGTTTTTTTTCTTTCTTTCTTATAACTCCTTTTATATCCACAGGAGTTGAAACTGCCTTTTACATTCATGAGTGGTCATATCCATGAGCTACGTATCCATGTACCTTGGACCAAGCTGGGCTCAGAGCCTGTAGTTATCACCATCAACACCATGGAGTGCATCCTGAAGCTAAGGGATGGCGCCCAGGTTAGTTTTTTTCTTTTCATTTTCGTTTTTTTGGTACGAGAAAGATGTTATTCTTGATTCTATACACAGCCAAAACAGGGCTAGCCAGATCTTCCTGTTATTTATGTGAGAGTCCTCCTCATGAAAAAGTTAAGCTTTCCCATTCCCTTTCTCCATGTGTTTCCAAGAAATTTCGTAATGGCCTTTGTTTAAAAACATGCTGACATTTTTAGTGCAGCAGGCTTTACTCTGTTGTACAATTAAAGCCATCTTCTTTAATTCTGACTTTGTGTAAAATCGAATGTTAATTTGACACAGCTAAGCAGCAGTTGCGTTTTTCCTTTTCTTACTCATGTTTATTTACTCTAATGAAAAATGCATTGAAAAAAAAGCAAACTAAGAAACCAGAAGCAAACAAACTGATGCCTCACTGACACAAAATATGTTTGCTATTCAAAACAATGATGTAAAATGCTTTTGGGGAATAAATTGGCAACACTCTTTACTGTGTTGCCAGCTTGGGAGTGGTAACATTGTGTGCCATTGCATTATAAACCAAGAAAATGATGAAATAATCCATGAATTTGGAGAAACAACCCACTGTTTGGTCGTGCACTGCACTGCTTGAGATTGTTAGGAAACAGCTTATTCATAGCAGGACAACTCAGCATATTCCTTTACTGGAAGTACGATAAGTATCACTAAAGATCCCAAAGCCCAGAGTGGGTCTCAAGCTCAATGCATGTGCAACCAGACTAAGCAGCCAGATCTTAATTTTGTTCACTGGTTAAATAAAGTAGAGGTGAGCTGGATTGCTGCTGGATTGTTAGCATCTTTGTGGAAACACATAAACATGTAACACAAAAGTGATTTAGTCATCGCTGTTTATATTGCTTCATAAAGTGAGTCAATAAGTAATGTAAGTTTTTTTTTGTACTTCAATAAATTTTTATACATATATAAAACTTTTATTGGTTTTAGTTGAAACAACACACGTCACAATCTTGGGACTGCAGGTGTATTTTCATCCAAACTACCACAATTAGGGATGCACCGATGTGTGAGGCTTTGGGATAGTCGATGCCAGGAAAGCAAAGAAGTTATCGTTTTAAATAAGTGAATACATTTCTACTGTTTATCACACTATTACACATTCAGTCATACAATTTAATAAAGTTTTGATGGGATGCAACACATAGGAATCAGTAACTGCCATTGCTGAATATCAGCCTATCTGCTGGTATTTCAATGGCAGTAAGCAAGGCAAATATTGGCCAGTACAGTCCAGATCAGTGCATCCCTAATTCCATCATAAAGTATCTACTAGTAATTGCTTTGAGGAATTTTGCTTCATGATTTTTCCCTGACACAAGCACAGCTATCTCACTCAGTATGATTTTTCTTAAAAAAGAGAGAGATGGTTCATTGACCACTGACCTGAAGAATTCAAGGAACTCAAAATTAAGAGGCAACTTTCTTTAACTTGACCAGTGCTATTTACTACTTGACTGCCTCCATTTTTAGCATGTCCTCTTTTTGTTGTCAAACAGTGAAGACTATTTCTCGTGACACTTAGAAGACTTGGAATCACATTCAGAAAAACCTGATAGTCTTTTGCATCTCTGTCAGATTGATCGCACAATAATAGCCTTTGTAACTGCTTGGTTTTGTCCTTGTAGTCAATATAATATTAAATCTGTAAGAAAGTAAGTATCGGTAAGAAATGTGACTTGAAGCTCTGTCCTACATCATTGCGGATATAAATCTAAGGACAATTGTCTTAAGGGGAATATTTTTCTATTCCTTTGTTTGGTTTAGTTACAAATATTTTCATTTTTAAAGAATGTTTTATGAGAGGTATTTTTGAAATTTATTTTTACAACAAAGTCTGGCTCTAAATTTGCCACCCATGCAGCTTTAAAAATTGAAAGTGTAGCTCAGTGCAGCCCTTTATGGGAAGGTTGAAGTTTCAAGGCCAGATGTCCCAGAAGAAACACATTTCAAGGGAAGTCAATTACAGCTAATTATATAGACTGCGGCAAAAAGATTTGTAACACATGAGCTTGAGCTGCCTAGAACTAATGGTAAATATCATAGTATGCAGGTGGCTACTGCTCATGCGATCAGGTTTCTAGTTCAGTGGAAATTTAAACTTTGTCTTTATGCTTCGTACACAGCTTAAGGTCATGTACCAGTACCGGTACTGGTGTAATGCTTATGGTCTCAAAACAAGTATTTGTTACAGATGTTTTCTAAAAGCTTCCAGTGAAGAAAAGATTTTTGGGGAATTGCAAATGACATTTGGACAAATTATTCAGTGGTATGTACACCCAAGAGACATAATTTGGAGTAAAGCCAGACTTACAGCAGAAATCCTTCTAGTATGTGGAATTTAAATGAGCCACTGCCGTTTTCTCCTATAATGGCGGGAAGCAGGAGGCTGACTACTGTGTTCTTAAGCCAAGAAAATGAAGCCAGCTTCCTTTTCATGTTTTACATTTATATTGCTTAAAAATAATAATAATAGTTGTTGTTGTTGTTATTTTTGTACTTTCCTTTGTTTTGTCTTTATTACAACTTAAACATCAGTAGACTGACAGCAACACTGGTCTCACAGAAACAAGTGTTTAATCCTTTAGCAAATACTCTAGATCTCATGTTAATTCACATCTTAGACCTTGGCTAGGTTGTAGCAGGCTTGCAGGGACTTTGACATAGGCCATAACCATTCTCACGGAAACTCTTATGTAATTTGGGTGATGGTCCACAGGATTTTTGAAAAGAAATGAATAAAGTAGATCTGTGTATGGAAATTATAATATTTTAACTGTAGTCCAGTAGAGACAGAAACATTAGGGTGGGCCTCGTGCGGCCAAAGTGTGGAAATGATAAATGATATCATTAATATGGTTTGTTTTCATAATTACTGTTAAAGCCCGAGTCCCGGCCTGTAAAAACATCCGCACATCTTTTGAAGTTCATTAAGGCCGGTGTAATTTGACCGGAATTATTTGGACCTTTTTAATGTTCGTGTTTCCCCTTGAGAGGAACTGGGTAATATTAGGGATGTTCAGATTGCTCAATAGGACCCATCTGCAAAGCACTAAGAGCAGCTCACAATTATAGTTTCCAGCAAATGTGGAAATTTTGGCGTTTAGCAGCAGTTGGAGATTACAGCTCCTGCTGACAGTGTAATTGCTTAAAATAAGCTGTAATGAGGACTTGTAGAGCAGAAAGTATGGTAATAGAAAAAATGTTGTCAACTTGTTTTTGACATTCATTTTACAAACTAGAGGTCGTTTACAAACAAAATACATTTAGTTATATATATATATATATATGTTATTGTCCACTGCAATCACATCTTGAAGTTTGGATAGAAATCCACTTCCTTTCTTTAGTACGTGTCTTTATTTTTAGATTATTACCATCTTTGTTTAGTTTACATTAATTTTAGCGAGTTCTACTTATCTCAGTTTTTTTAAATTTCAGTTTAAGTGCAAAAGTTGAAATGGTTGTACTTGGTACGAGTTTAATTATTAGAGCGGACTTTTTCAAGTGAAATTACACTAAACCGTGGTTTATACCAAAAAGCTCAAAAGATGTGACAAGAGATTGTCTTGGGCATAAAGGGGTATTTTTGAAAGTCAGTTTAACTTTCTTTGTTCTTGAACAAAGATCCACTTAGTGTGGCCTAATGAGTTTGTTTATATGAGTGAACTGATTGATGGTAGCCCATTCCAGATTAAAACTAATGTAAAAATGTCAAGAGGTGCAAAGTGGAATACAGTGATCATAGTATCTATCCCTCTATATACAGTGTGGATAGGGACAGATTAGTGTCTTATGTCATGTTTGTTTAAAAGAAATAGAGTAGAAGGAACTAATAGTGGATTACTGTTCCAGGACATTTTCTCTGTGCTTGTCATTAGCTAGTGTTGTCAGTCTAAGGACTTCAGCTCTTATATGGTGGATTGGAATGGGTTTTGTCTGATGGAGAGCATTTAGTTCATTTTACTTTTGATAATGACCAAGTTCAGTAGGAGGTATCATTTAATGTGCACTTTTTGTTTTTGTTTGTATATTTTTAAGTAATATTTTTAACATTGACTTAATGTTGGAAAATTATAAGTATAAAAAGAATTTTCTTCTTGACAATTTGGTAAACTGCTCCAGATGTTAAAGATGAGGTGTGATCAGCAAAGACAGAGAGGAACTGGCTGGACAGCATTTACAGTGGATCATAATATTCTCAGACACTCTTTATTTTTTATGAGACAAAGATAAGGGCTTGGGTTTACTGAGGAGAGCCTTTCTGGTTTTGGCTGAGCTCACTGCTTGATCTGGGAGTTTTATGGCCGCTGAGTGCATTTGCCACTGATGTGGAGGTTCTGATTGATGCATTGCCTCAAGATGATTTGGGGAGGTGCCTCTGAGACTTGTTGGTTTGGCATATGGTCCAACTAGGCCCTTTTTTCTGTTAAATTCCTTCCAAACTATTTTTAGGGTTTACACAACCAAACCTCTTTTCTCCTAAATAATGGGTAATACATGTGAATAAGGAAATCCCTTTTTAAAGACTTCTTAAATCCCCAAGTTGGTATTTCATAATCTAAATCTGATATCTACTCAGCTAAGGCATGCTACTTTGAGTTTTGAATATTTAAGAGACAGACATAGATGTGATACCTGATCTTTGAGTGTGAAAATGCGTGGTGGTGACCTGTAAAGGAGTTTTGCTTTCCGTGTGTGTGGTCTTGCCACCCAGGGGTTGAATGCACAAAACTCTTAAGTAGAAAATTTGGGATGTATAGTCTGTTACAACTTCTTTGTGTAGCCTTAATTCTGCTGTGGCACAGCCAGGACCAGCCCAATCCCGGGCTTCAGATCCATAGAGCATACTGAATGCCAAACCAAAGGCTCAGATGAGCTCCACTCCCCAGTGAATGGAGCCCTGGACCACGATTTGAAAGAGCACAAACTAAGAAGAAAATATCCTAATTCCATTCTACGGTCTCAGG